GTGTAAAAGTCCAAGTCAAGTCACAAGTCTTAGAACATTTTTTCAAGTCAAGTCTAAAGTCATAAAATTAATGACTCGAGTCTGACTCGAGTCCAAGTCATGTGACTCGAGTCTGACTCGAGTCCAAGTCATGTGACTCGAGTCCACACCTCTGGTGGGCACCCACTGAAAAACATACACGATGCAGCTGACTCACCTGAGAGAAAGGCACGAGGTATCGTTAAAATAAAAAACACTTAAAGCCAACGAAAATATCATAAAGAAATGACCTGAAAGAATTTATTCAAAGGCCAAAAATCATAACATTTCTGCAAAAAAACAAGTAAAATAAGAATAAAAAGGCATAAAATTCAGACAATGATGAGAAGCACAATATCAAATTGGATTGTTAACGCTAGAATGGATGATTTATGTTAGGGGGGGGGGCACTGATTCATGCGTTTCAATGTTTTTCTGCAGCTGACAGCCAAAGGAAGAGGCGTGAGCCAATCAAATGCCCTGCCCAATTAACACCGCTGAGGTGTTTGCATTTTTCAGCATGACGCCACCGTCATCCCAAGCTGTCAGGACTCACAGATGATGCACTCTTTCACAATCCACAACAAATCCGTCAACACAATCGTAGGTTTAAAGGAGGGACTATGAGGATTCACAACGACAAAACAGAAAACACTGACATCTGCAAGATGACTGAAAGATCTATATCCATACATTTTATGGAGAGTTAGTTCAATTAAACCTATACATACTCATTATTATCTCCAAGGTGTGTTGCACTGAAAATCAGTGTTGGGGAGTAACGGAATACATGTACCGCCGTTACGTATTTAAAATACAAAATATGAGTAACTGTATTCCGTTACAGTTACCGTTTAAAAAGGTGGTATTTAGAAAACAGTTACTTTGTTGAAATAAATGGAATACATGGTGGTACTTTCCTGTTTCATATTGTTGCGGGTCAGGACTGTTTGGGTTTTGTTTGACAGCTATGTGCCATTGTTCCAGGCTGCAGCGTTACGGTTGCCATGGTTACAGGGTGACACCCTCTCTCTCTGTGTTTCCTGGGTGAGAGAGCGCCTTTTTGTTGTTGTTGTTGTGCTAAGCTAATAGACAGAATGCTACTGCTCTAAAGCATGTAGCCTCATGGTCAGTGTAGTCCGTGCTGCAGGGAGAATGGACTGTCATACCCGTGATGTGTCTGTGAGCGCGGGGAAGAAGAAAAAGGAGAGTCGAAAAGTACGAGTTGTCACCGAGCAGAAATGGGAGCTGGAAGCATGTAAATATAATAATAACCACTGCAGCCAAAAAGAGTACCTGACGAACCCAGCTGTTAAGCTATTAAGACTCGACTGTACACCGTGTTAGTGTTTTCCTCTGCAACAATAAGTTCCGTTGCAGCAGCCTTTCAACACCTCGCTCTGTCTCTTGCAAGCAAACTTGATCCAGACAACAAAGTGAGGCTAGTTTTCAGTTACGAGCCCGACACGAACCTGACGTATTAGACAGAGGTCCCTTTACTACGGTTCGGACCTTCAGTAACAGCAATAAATCACAGCAATAGTACATTCACGTAGTTGTAAAAAGCATGATAATATATTAAGTAGAGATGGACCGATCCGATATTACGTATCGGTATTGGTCCGATACTGACCTAAATTACTGGATCGGATATCGGAGAAAAATAAAAAATGTAATCCGATCCATTAAATATCACGAAAGCACCTC